TGAGACAGGGTGCTCTCCTCCATCTTCCCCGACCTGGCTCAGCACAGCCCCCAGTCCATACATGGAAGCGTCTGTATGAACAAGAAAACGTTTGTTAGGGACTGGGGCAACCAGGACAGGGGCATTTACAAGAGCCTGCTTAAGTGCTTGAAACGCGGTTTCACAAGCTGGAGACCACAGGACCTGCTTAGGTAAATTCTTCTTAGTCAGGTCAGTCAAGGGCTTGGCAACCGTACTGTAGTCGGGGACAAAACGTCGGTAATACCCTGCCGTCCCCAGGAAGGCCAGCACTTGGGTCTTGGTGATAGGTGTGGGCCAGTTAGCTTCAGCCTCTACCTTGGCTGGCTCCGGTCTCTGGCTTCTACATCCTACTCTGTGACCCAAGTACTGCACTTCTGCCATGCCTAGATGGCACTTGTCTGGCTTCAAGGTCAGGCCTGCGGCCAGAATCTTGTCCAGTACCACCCCCACATGTACTAAATGGTCTTCCCAGGACTCACTGTAGACTGCAATGTCATCCAGGTATGCACACGGCAAAACAGACGAACACAGTGCTTTTAGTCCATACAGATGGGTCTGTCACACGTTTAATGTGTCCTTTCCTGCCACAATTCCCGCAGTCTACCTGCCTTCTGTCTCCACCAGCTCTAGGGACAGTTACAGCCATTAGAGTTGTGCTCCTCTTTAGTATTTAGATTAGCTTCCAGTCCCCTAGCCACCTTCACCAGATCACCATAGGTTAAACTTCTCCACTCAGGTCTAGCATTTTGGAGACCAGTCCTTATGGGTATGTGGATACCATCCATGAAGCAGTTAATAAGCAGTCTGGTGAAAGTGGTTACAACATCAATGTAACATAATGCCTCCCAAGCCATCTGTAGTCTGGTGAAGAATGCTTCTACAGATTCATCTTTCCCTTGTAGTATATCTCCTAATTTATGGGCTAGTTCCTCTGTCTTTACCTTAGCCCATTCTCTCATTGCAGTGACATAGCATGCTCCAGATGCAGACTTGGTTCTGAACCATTCATCTGTTTGCATGTTGCTTTTTCTGAGGTTATCTTCATGGGCATCTATATATTTAGCAATTATTCTAGCCCAAATGGGGCCAGCTTTTAGTGCCACAATCTGTTTTTAAATCCATCCAAGTACACAGGTAAGTAGCTTGAATTGTGGAGACTGGACTAGAGCTAAGGGGGCCTTTTCAACATCTGCCAACTGCTGTATTATTGCCAGTTGTTCACTGGGTGTCCAGGGCTTATATTCTTCCCAGTATTGGATACCTGAGCTCAGCTGTCTGTGCTCGTGGTATACGCTCTCAACTTTGGGTATCATGGGAGTAGAAAATTGTGGAGCTAATGGCCCCACTGGGGTGTCTGTGGGGGCAACTAGGGGTTCCTTTAAGTCTGGACTACCTTCCTGCTCTAATGAACCCATAGATCTTACTGGGACACCATATGAAGTCCCACTGCGTAATACTACTGGAAAGAGAGGTTTTGATCTCCGTAAAAGGGAAATCTCCTGGCCTTTAGGGACCAAAGGAGTGCCTGCAGTATCCTGGTAAAGGGGTGGGTTTACAAGATTTTTCCCAGGATCTTGCCTACTCTGGGACCCTAGAGGTCCAAAACATTGATAATATGGTACACCTTTCCTGGTGGTTTCTCTACAACCACATTTAGTTAATTCAACAGCAGTATCATGCCATTTTTGTGCGAATTCTACTAAGTCACTATCTTCTAACCAACCTCTGTAATTTGTCATAAATTCTCTCCATATATGTGGGTCTAGAGTGCCCTCTGAGGGCATGCCAGCTTTCTTAAGTAACCTCTTAACATTCTTAATTGCTCCTTGTCCTTTGTGATGCTTGACAATAGTCAAAGCCGTAAATCCCCCTTGGGTACTTTCAGAGCTACGCATCTTAAAACTTGTAAGGGTTAATTACTTCCTTACACAAGTTGGTGGTTCAAGCCCACACAGGCACGTGTTTTCGCTTTTTGAGGCACTTGAGGTTTTTTTAACCAAGAAGCATAAAAGAAACCCAAAATAGTACCCTTTCAAATGCAAATACGGTGACTACATTGATTAACATAGGTGGAGACAGAGGGTGGCACCCATAATAAAAATGTAAGAAAACACCCACAATTTTTTCAATAATATGTATTTCACAAATTTGTAAACTGTATATCAACTTGAAAAAAATGGAACTATGAAAAATAAATTAATCCACCCCCCCTAATTAGTACCTCCCATAATTAATCCACCCCCATAATTAATACACTCCCCCATAATTAATACACCCCCACACCACACACCCCTTACACCACATACACCCCACAATTAATCCAACTCCCCACACCAATCCACTCCATAACACCAATACAGCACCTACAATTAATCCACCCCCCATACCCAATCCACTCCCCCATAATTAATATACACCCCCATAATTAAAACACTCCCCATAATTAATATACACCCCCATAATTAATCCACCTACAATTAACTACCCCATAATTAATCCACACTAATCCACCCCCTTAATTAATCCACCCCCTTAATTAATCCACCCCCATAATTAATACACCCCCATAATTAATACACCCCCATAATTAATACACCCTCATAATTAATCCATTCCGCGATAATTAATACACCCCCATAATTAATATACCCCCATAATTAATATACACCCCCCATAATTAATACACCCCATAATTAATACACCCCTCTATACTCATTATACACCCATAATTACAAACACCCCTCATAATTAATGCACCCCATAATTACTATACACCCCCACAATTAATACACCCCCCATAATTAATAATACACAACCTATAATTAATATACACCCCCATAATTAATTTACACACACCCATAATTAATATACACCCTCATTAATTAACCAACCTCCCCATAATTAATATACACCCCCTAATTAATATACACCCCCATAATTAATATACAACCCCCATAATTAATACACCCCCCATAATTAATAATATACACCCCCATAATTAATATACCCCCTAATTAATATATACACCCCTCATACTAATATACTCCACCCATAATTACTATACACCCCTATAATTAATCCACCCCCATAATTAATAATATACACCCCCTCATAATTAATCCACCCCCATAATTAATATACACCCCCATAATTAATACACCCCCCTTAATTAATACACCCCCCATAATTAATACACCCCCTTTTAATTAATTTAATAACATTACATAAAATACATAAACACATAAATTAATAACATCACATAAATTACTACTCACGTTTTGATGATGCCTTCCCTCCGAGACCGACCACAGGATCCTTGCGCTGAAGATCCGTGAATGCGGACTGACAGCGGCGCTGCGTACGGCGTCATCACTCCGCATACCGCAAGACTCCTCCCCCTTCTCAAAGGTGCTGCTGCTGTGCGCAGCGTAATGATTGGGGCCGGGGGGTGACACATGACACTGGAAGTCATGGCACCCCCCCTGGACAGTGGAACCCGGGGCGGGCCGCACCCCCTTAGTACGCCACTGGGTGGAGACACTTCACAAAACCATGTTTAAAGGGAAGGGTGACGCCATATCTATGACGGTGCTTTCCAATTGAAACTTCAGCAAAAGCACTTAAAACATCATCAGAAGTGAAAAGGAAGTTCATTCTTCATTCCGTTGTCAACCGATTGGACAATTGCCAATTGGCAGAAAATTGGGCTCGATCAAAGGGAACCTGAACAGGGGACTGCTCCTATCCATCGTCAGTCATCGGGAAAGTGTCTGCAATTTCAAACAAATGGCATCTCCCAAATCAGCATGTGATGAGCCCCCGAAGCGTGCTGGTGAAACCCCACTCCGGGACCATGCCTTTTCAATGCAGGAGGGGCAAAGCATGTGCTAACCAATTAGCAAAAAAATATCAAAATCCTCATCTTTCCCACAAAAACATCAACAACAACAGCAAAAACATTGAAGACGGCTGGCTGCAAACGGAATAGAGAAATATTATACAAGCATGTTAAAAGCGTTGGAAGACAATTTTTAAAGGGAAGTGTTTTGAAACTTGAAGACACGCACGGCCGTGCCAGATGATCAGAAAGTGCAATTTCACTCGGAGTTAACAGTCCAAATACAAGCAATCGACTTTAATACCTCATTGCATCAAGCTTAGCGACGTTTGATGGGCACGGAAAGTTTGGTGAGCAACTCCACTCTAGGATGATTCATTTTTAACATGGAATGGGCAAAGCATGTGCTAACCAATCAGAAAAGAAAAGGAAAGAAAAACAGCAGCAAAGAGTAAAATTAGTTTTAATGTTTCTGCAACAAAACATTACATTCACACGGAGGCTACAGATTGTACAGAAGCACGGAGGCTACAGATTATACAGAAGAAAAAAAATAACAACCCCAAAGACATGTTAAACATGTTAAGTGAGGACGAAAAGGAGATCTCTATAGAAATGTTTGGAAATCTGTTACGTCACACAGACATGTTGACAGAGTGGTCCGAAAGTGCAATTTTTCTTGAAATTAACAGGCAAGCTATCAGCGATTGACTTAAAGCCAAGAAAACCTTAGATGTGGATGGTAACGTAACAAAAAGCAGTGAAAACCCATGGAAAAGTGAATTTCTCTTGAGAGGGTTTGGGGATTTGATTGCCAATGGAATTACAAATTTGGACAAAAACAAAGCAACTTGCTTAGCAGAGGATGGTTTCAATCCATCGACCTCTGGGTTATGGGCCCAGCACGCTTCCGCTGCGCCACTCTGCTGCTGCCAAACCTCCGCGTTGTGCATTTTGAAAGGGAGAAGATGGCTCCACCTCCATTTGCATGCAGATAAAGAAAGATAGCTGCATTTGAAAGCAGAGGATGCCGTAACCGCTGAAAAAGCATTTAGACATCGTGAGAGCAAAATCTTGTTAGCCCACGTAGCTATCCATTGCTCACGTGCTTAGTCTCTGTGGCGCAATTGGTTAGCGCGTTCGGCTGTTAACCGAAAGGTTGGTGGTTCAAGCCCACCCATGGACGTCTTTTCGCTTTTTGAGGCACTTGAGGTTTTTTGAACCGAGAAGCATAAAAGAAGCCCAAAATAGTTACCTTTCAAACGCAAATACGGTGACTGCAAATTGATTAACATAGGTGGAGACACTTCACAAAACCATGTTTAAAGGGAAGGGTGACGCCATATCTATGACGGTGCTTTCCAATTGAAACTTCAGCAAAAGCACGTAAAACATCATCAGAAGTGAAAAGGAAGTTCATTCTTCATTCCGTTGTCAACCGATTGGACAATTGCCAATTGGACAGAAAATTGGGCTCGATCAAAGGGAACCTGAACAGGGGACTGCTCCTATCCATCGTCAGTCATCGGGAAAGTGTCTGCAATTTCAAACAAATGGCATCTCCCAAATCAGCATGTGATGAGCCCCCGAAGCGTGCTGGTGAAACCCCACTCCGGGACCATGCCTTTTCAATGCAGGAGGGGCAAAGCATGTGCTAACCAATTAGCAAAAAAATATCAAAATCCTCATCTTTCCCACAAAAACATCAACAACAACAGCAAAAACATTGAAGACGGCTGGCTGCAAACGGAATAGAGAAATATTATACAAGCATGTTAAAAGCGTTGGAAGACAATTTTTAAAGGGAAGTGTTTTGAAACTTGAAGACACGCACGGCCGTGCCAGATGATCAGAAAGTGCAATTTCACTCGGAGTTAACAGTCCAAATACAAGCAATCGACTTTAATACCTCATTGCATCAAGCTTAGCGACGTTTGATGGGCACGGAAAGTTTGGTGAGCAACTCCACTCTAGGATGATTCATTTTTAACATGGAATGGGCAAAGCATGTGCTAACCAATCAGAAAAGAAAAGGAAAGAAAAACAGCAGCAAAGAGTAAAATTAGTTTTAATGTTTCTGCAAATGTAACGAGAATATACCCCTACACGCAGGATCCAGCTAAACAGAGGCAAATACAGAGGAGAGATACGTCTACCGGACCTTAGAATGGCCGGACTCGACGTATATGAGAGGAGACAGAGCCAGGAACAAACCGAGGTCAAGGGCACAGAGAGACAGCGTAAACTAGGACAAGCCGGGGTCTGGTACACGGAAAACAGCAAGCCGGCAAACAGTACAGATAAGGATAAAGCGAAAACGAAGTCAGAATACGAAGCCAAAGTCAATACGAAAACACAACTGAACACCACAAGCGCTAAAGGGAACTGAAACAGAAACCACGATAGGGCAACGAGCTAAGGGAAAAAGGTAAGTTAAATAGCTTTTAAACCAAAGTGATTGGCTCCTGTCACTTCCACACCCCTATAGGTAATTGTATAGGGAGTGTGGTATGACAGGAGCCAATGGGAGCCTTTTGGCAATTAGGCTCCCACTGTCTCTTTAAGAGCGCGCCCGAGACTCGCGGCGCGCTCTTAGTTTCAGGCGGGACACGTGACCGCTTCACGCGGTCACTGCCCGCCTTCCATCCAAAGCAGTCGGATGAGCCGCGCGCGGCTCGTGCAGCCGCAGGACCGCGCGCGGCTTGAAGAGAGGACCGCGACCGGCCCCCGGTTAAGGTAAGTAACGCTACAGTACCCCCCCCTGAGGACACGCCCCCCGGGCGGGTAGGACCAGGCCTGGCAGGAAAACGAGAATGGAAAGAGCGCACAAGACGGGGAGCATGGACAGCATCAGCCGAAATCCAACTGTGCTCCTCAGGCCCATAACCCTTCCAATGTACCAAGTACTGAAGTCGACCCCTAAGGAAACGAGAGTCAAGAACAGCAGACACTTCAAACTCCTCATGACCCTCCACCGAGATAGGAGGGGGAGGAGGAGTATGCCGGGTATAGCGGTTGCGTACGAAAGGTTTCAACAATGAGGTGTGAAAAACATTAGGAATACGTAGATTCTTAGGCAGGCCTAAGGCATAAGAAACAGGATTAACCTTATGTATAATACGATAAGGTCCAATGAAGCGGGGAGCCAATTTCATAGAAGGCACCCGGAGACGAATATTCCGCGTGGAAAGCAAAACCCTGTCCCCCACAACATAGGACGGAGCTGCTCTGCGATGCTTGTCAGCCTGAGCCTTCTGGCGAGTAGCAGAGTCCACCAAAGAACGCTGAACCTGCTCCCAAGTATTACGCAAACCAGCCAAATGCTCATCCAGAACTGGCATGCCCTGTGAGGAGAATGCAGCCGGAAGAACAACGGGATGCTGGCCATAGACAACGTAAAAAGGGGTCTTGCCGGAAGAATCATGAGTGGCGTTATTCCGAGCAAATTCAGCCCAAGGAAGCAGGTCAGACCAATTGTCCTGATGGTGAGACACAAAACAACGGAGGTATTGCTCCAGAGACTGGTTGGCACGTTCAGCAGCCCCATTAGACTGGGGATGATAAGCGGAAGAAAATGAGAGAGAAATACCCATTTCTGAACAAAAGGCCCTCCAGAACCTGGAAATAAATTGGCTACCCCTATCGGATACAATAGATACGGGAATCCCATGTAATCGAAATACTTCTCTAGCGAAGATATGAGCCAGTTCCTTGGATGTGGGCAACTTGTGAAGAGACACGAAGTGAGCCATTTTGGAGAACCGATCCACTATCATCAGGATTACTGTGTTACCATTTGAAGGGGGTAATTCAACAATAAAATCCATGGACAGGTTAGACCAAGGTCTCTCGGGAACGGGTAACGGATGCAACAGCCCACAAGGAACTCTACGGGAGGATTTCATACAGGCACAAGTAGTACAAGCACTTATATAGTCAGTGACATCCTTTCGTAAGGAATCCCACCAAAAATACCGAGAAACAGCTGACACCGCTTTGGAAATACCAGGATGTCCAGCGGTCTTAGTATCATGATATAATGACATAATATCCCGTCTCTCAGGAACATCAACGAACAGTTTATCATTAGGCCTCTCGCTAGGTGCCATGCTTTGTTTCGCTTGTATGGCCTGCAAGAGGGACGAGGAAATAGACAAAATAGTAGTAGCTATTATCCTGTCTGGGGGAATGACAGGAGTAACATCAATCTCCTGTTTGTCAGTAGTTTCGAACTGTCTGGACAGAGCGCCTGCTTTAGTGTTGCGATCACCTGGCCTATAGGTGATAATAAAATTGAAACGAGACAAAAATAGTGACCACCTAGCCTGCCTGGAAGACAATCTTTTGGCTTCGCTAAGGTAGGATAGGTTCTTGTGATCCGTAAAAATGAGGATAGGATCCTTAGTTCCTTCTAACAAATGTCTCCACTCTTTAAGTGCTAAAATAATAGCAAGGAGTTCACGATTACCCACATCATAATTTTTCTCTGCTTTGGACATTTGTTTAGAAAAGAAGCTGCATGGATGCAATGGCTTTTCAGGCGACTCTCTTTGGGATAAGACAGCACCTACCCCAATATCCGAAGCATCAACTTCAAGAATATAGGGCAGTGAGGGGACAGGATGCTGTAAAATAGGTGCAGAGGCGAACGTAGTTTTAAGAAATTCAAAAGCCTGAAGTGCCTCGGTAGACCAAACACGAGTATTGCCATCCTTTTTAGTCATACGGGTAATAGGTGCTACAATGGACGAGAAACCTTTGATAAAACGTCTATAATAATTGGAGAACCCAAGAAAACGCTGAATAGCTTTCAGACCTTGCGGTAGAGGCCATTCTATTACAGCAGCAAGCTTCTGGGGATCCATACGAAAACCTTTAGCGGAAATCAAATACCCCAAGAACTGGACTTCGGTTTGGTCAAACAGACATTTTTCTAGCTTGCAATAAAGACCATAAGCAAGAAGGGTCTTCAAAACTGTCGTAACATGTCTGTGATGAGTGTGTATATCTGTAGAATATATTAAAATGTCGTCCAAGTATACGATAACAAATGTGTGAATAAAATCTCTTAAGACATCATTAATAAATTCTTGGAATACTGCTGGGGCATTGCAAAGCCCAAATGGCATAACAGTATATTCGTAATGACCGGATCTAGTGTTGAATGCAGTCTTCCATTCGTGATTTTCCTTTATACGTATCAAATTGTATGCACTCCTAAGGTCTAATTTAGTGAACACAGTGGCATGTTTCAGCCTGTCAAATAATTCTGTAATTAAAGGTATAGGGTATGCATTTTTGATAGTGATTTTGTTTAGACCTCTATAATCTATACACGGTCTTAAATCACCTTCTTTCTTCGATACAAAGAAGAACCCTGCTCCAGCTGGAGAAGAGGATCTCCTAATAAACCCCTTTTCTAGTGATTCCTTAATATACTCCTCCATGACACGGTTTTCTTGAACCGATAAGGGGTACACCCTGCCCTTTGGAGGTATAGTGCCAGGCAACAAGTCAATAGCGCAATCATAGGGTCTGTGAGGCGGTAATTTCTCAGCCTCCCTTTTATCGAAAACAGTCTTTAGAGATAAATACTGAGGGGGTATAACCGTAGACAAAGGAGGACTGGTAGGTACCTCAATAGAATTCAAAGGTGTGACTTCCAACGTACAAGACTCGCGGCAGGCCTCACTCCATGATTTTATTTGCCCTGTCTCCCAGTCAAAAATGGGATTGTGAGCACGTAACCATGGATACCCTAATACTAACTGTGAAGAGGGAGAGGTGATGACCTGGAATCGAATGGTTTCATAGTGTAAAACCCCTGTGTACATGTGTAATGGTCTCATGAGTAACAACTGGAGAACTTAATGGTCTACCATCTATGGCCTCAACGGCCAAGGGTATCTCCTTCTCTCTGATGGGAATGTTGTTTCTCTTTATAAAGCCAGAGTCTATAAAATTTTCAGCTGCCCCAGAGTCAACCAGAGCATATATGTTGTCAACTATACAAATCTCTCCCATATATAAAGAAACCGGGAGAAGCAAGCGGTTAGGAGGCAATTTAGGAGACTTAGATATCACACCCAAGGCCAGTCCCCTATAAGGTCTTAGGTGCGAGAGTTTTCCGGGAGTAAAGGACATTCCTTTACCATATGGTCTCTCCTACCACAGTATAGGCAGAGTCCCTCCCTTCTCCTATGTAATTTCTCAGTATCAGAGAGTTTGGCAACCCCTAATTGCATAGGTTCCTCCTCAGACACTTTAACACTCTCTGGTATATTAACTCTGGGGTTAATGGGTGTAACAAAACGTCTATTCCTGTTCTTGGTATAGAGCCTGTCACGAATTCTATTATCTATATCAAT